TGAGAGTGGGTGAGATTCCTCCTCATCCTTCCAGTCAGTGATAAAATATTAGAAGTCTTCCTGAGCTGGTGCTCAGGAGGCGAGGAGGATCTTGATGAAGATGCTGGTTGTTGCACTGTGAGGATTTGGTGCTCTGAAGAATTGGTCTGGGTCACAGTACAGGTGCTCTACGAAAGGGTTGAAGGGCTTCTTGGCCCATCCCTTTGAGCTTTCTTGGTGGCTTTTTTTTTTGGCATAGGATGCTAATAGCTGAGGAATGAGGAAGAGACAGAAACTCACCAAAATGACAGCTGGGGACAAACTGGGAAAATAAGAAATCCTTCTGATGTAAATACGGCTTGTCCCATTTGCAGCCCATCCATATCACCCCATCAGGTCTGTACCCCTTTTTATGTGGCTACAATGAGCCTTGTGCTCAAGGGATTTAACTTCAGCCTTGGATTTCCCTCCTGTGCTGAGAAGTGGAAGGATCTGTGTCCCTTCTGACCTTTCTGTCTGAACTCGCTCTGAAGCAGAGAGCAGGTGATGTGTTTGAGAGCCCAGAAGTGCTTCAGTCAGCTGAAGCTTCCTTAGCCCTCTCTTCCAGAGAGGGAGAGTATTTGTTGTCCCAGGGTCCCAGCAGCTGAAGGTGGCGGAAGCGTGTGGTTCAGCGTCCTACACTCCGGCGGGTATTGTGGGTGTAGGAACAAACACACTTGCTTTATTTTAACAAAGCCCTGCGTTTTTGGCCCTGACCAAAGGCTGCTTTGGCCTCGTTCCCTGTGGCACAGAGCAGGACACCACTTGAGGCGTATAAAATCTGCTTTCTGCCTGGGGTTGGGCCATTGAGCTGCCCCTTTGCTCGCCGCTGAGGGGACACTGGCAGCTCACCCCCTCAGGGGGCTGTGCCTGGGGGCGCTGAGGGGCACGGAAAGCAGGGGTGCTTCCCAGCAGAGGGCCCTCGAGCAGCACTGCCGGCTCCTGGCCAGCGCTCTCCTGGCCCCAGCAGCTCGGGGGCTCCTGGCAGAGAGGGATGCACCAAGTACGGCAGTTCGGTGTGCTCTTGGAGGAGTTGCTTTTGCTGGAAAGATAAGGGGTGTTTTTTTAAAGAATGTGGCCCTGGAAGTTGGTAGGAGACTGGCAAGGCTTGCTCACAGGGCTGCAAAGCCCAAACCTGTGTTGCTTCCTAGAGGAGTAGAACACAACTTGTGTTTTCTAAGCCCTTGAGGTGAACATGCCATGCTTTCAATAGCTAGCAAAAGTATTGTAAGGTACCAGAAGCAATAGACCCAGCTGATGAAATCACCATGAGCCCCATGGTTCCATGAAGGAACTGCTGTGACCTGAATGGCTCATTGCTCTCAAGCAGACATGGTGCATTATTCATGAGAGGCCCATCAAGCAGTTCACAAAAACCCCCATAACCCTTCGGTGTTCTGCTCTGTCTTACCGCAGCTTAATGTTTTTCAGCACCTCCTGTTTCTACCTCTTCTAAATGAGTGAGCCAGGGCAAGGAAGTCAGTGGGAATTTGGCAGTTTTTCTTCCAAGGGCCCTGCAGTGGTTCCCCAGGGAATGGGCAGGCAGGGCTGAGCAGGTACTCTGACAGAGACAGGACCCCACCACATGTTGTTTTCACTGCTGAGGCAGCACTGTTAGAAAAGTTTCCAAAAAGAATGGGTTTACTCACCTTGGACCTTTACTAATCAGCTATCAGGCAGTGCTTGCTGAGATGCCCTATTCTGTCTAGATTTTTTGGCAAGTGGATGGAAAGGACAGACAAGTCCTGATTCTTGGTGACTTGAATACAAATATGAGAGCTACAGAGTTGCTTTTTGTGGTTCCCTTGGAAATCAGCGCTATTGTACTAATTCAGCTGTAATACTAAGGAATGCAGTGGAGGAATTTGTTGAGATCAGCAGCTAAAATGCTGCAGAACCCATGTCTATGTAAGAGACCAAAAAACCCCTGAAACCTCAAGGTCACAAGGAATAGCTGCGATTGAGGATTGAGTCCTAAAAAAGGTGAGTGAGGGATTTTGTTGGTGTACAAAGGATCTGCTGCGTGCACAGGTGTGTTCAGGGTGAGCCACTTTTGTCATGATGACTTGGTACTGACGTTTGTCAGCCGAGCAAAAGATACTGAAAGTCTCTGTGATAAGTACAGCTGCAGTCTCTGCACCTAGATCCTTCCATGGCAATCTTTATCCTCTGAAACTTCCTGACTTAGGTTGAATTACTTGTGACTTAATCCAACGCAAATATTTTATCACTGGGTAGTGTGCACAAACCCCTGGAAGTGCAGGAGCTGCCAGTTTCCATCTCATTCAGCATCGCCTCTGACTGACAATGCTGTGGTCAGCATGAGCGGCTTCCGAGGAATCTACCAGAAATGCTGCAAGATATATTTATGGAATAACCTGCCCACAGGGAAAATTTTACCCCAGCAGTTCCACCGAGCATGCGTGTGTATGTGTTCTCTAATCTTTACCAGCAGAACTTTGCCTGTTCTCATTATCCATACACATGTCAGACATTGTCAATGACACTGATACCTTGCGTGACCTCGCTGGAAAAGGAGTTCCTGAGTTAGCTGAGGGAGGAAAATGTGTGTGTGCTGGGTGAGAAGGCAGGCCAGTAGCTCCTGTAGAGCAGCAGGCATTTAGGTGAAGGTGGTGTCCTGTCCCGTGCCCTGCTGAGGCATTGCCTTGGCTGGGATGTTGGCGAAGGCCATCGGCAGAGCTTTTCCTCACCAAAGCTTTGTGAGTGGGACTGAAGCCAGCGGGTTCCAAAGGCAGGTTCAAACAGTCAGCCAAAGCCTTCCCAAATCCAGCTGCTTCTCTGTGACCTGTGCAGGGAGGGCAAAGCTAGCGGGCTGTTGTGCTGAGTGACGAGCTCCTCTCTGGTTATTAAACCAAGCAGAGGAAAATCCTGGGAATGGCTGGGGAGGCTTGGCAAGGGAAGGTGCGAGCCGAGGGTTGTCGGCAGTGCCAGAAGGTACATGGATACGTGTGTTGGACAAGTCTGCTCCAGCCAGTGGGTTTCCCTTTGTCAGTCACAGTGACAGACAGCGTCGTCAGTGCACTTTACTGGGCATTTCTCTGCACAGAGAGCGCACTCGTTTTTAAACTTGGTCGAGACAACTGCCCTGGCTCTTGATTGAAGGACTTCTGGAAATGGCTCTGGTAGTGTTTTAGATGATTAAACGCAGCAATGTGATATTTAAAGACTGACTTGGAATCATGCATCCTGATAAAAACCCCCTGTTTTTTAGCCAGAAAATTCAATGCACATGTTTAAAATGACAGTATTTGAAGTTACAGTGAATTGTCGGGAACTGGAATTAGTCCAGTTAATTAGGTTTGTTTCTGAAACAGCAAGCTAAGAGCCAGCTGCTGAGAAGCATCCATGAGGTGCTTTCACTGAGGGATCACAATGCCTGGGGGTATCCCAAAACCCCCATGAGTTATCTAAGTGGCAAAAAACAACAGCAATTTTCTCAAGTAGCTAATGTGTTTTTTCTTCAGGAGCTCCCTAGTTTATTTAAAAACGAAGTGAAGTGAAACTAGCACATCATTAAGGATTTAGGGCATGGACACAGCAGTCCTTGCTTTGGAGCCTTTGGAAGAGGGAAGATGTACAGTTGTTTGGGTTAGCACTTGAGCACACAAAGCTCCTCAACTGATGTGGTGCTCTGCTTTTGTTAACATGAGGGCTGTCATTAATTGAAATTAAATACAGTTGTAAGTGATGGGAGGCACAACTGTGCCCATTGGAAACTCACTGGCCCTTGAAAAACAGGTTCTTAAAAACCTGGATTTATTAAAGGGAACAAAGGAGCCCAAGTCCTGACCCATTCATGTGCAGACTGTGGCTCTGAGATCTTCCAGGAAAACATGGAACAGCATGAGGGGACAGTGACAACGCCAATCAATTGTCTGTTCTCAGTGTCTGGGGACAGCACAGGGGTGGCAGCAGCAGAAAGGAGAGGAGGAATTTGGCAGGGAGATCCTTCTGCAGTGCTCTCGCTCTGCTCTGCAAGTGCTGTGGTTTCTGTTGCTGCTGCTTTTTCTGCCCAGCCAATGGATTGCATATTATTCCCTAGTACAGAGTTTGGATGGGTGACAAAGGTGGAGCTTGGTAGCTGAGGAGCAGCTGAGGGGGCAGTTGCTGTGTGGTAATCATAAACCTTGCTGAAGAAGGGGAGTTTTCCCCCTGTGGAGCTACAATAGCCTGCTTTGTTCCCCTGAGAGTCTGTGTACTTCCCATCATGGATTGCTGTTCTGCCATGTTCCTTGTGAGCCTTTTGCAGAGCTCCAGGATTTAAAAATACTTTATGGATCTCATCAGCTTGGCCTGGACAGTCGAGCTGAGTGCAGGAGCTATAGCTGACTGAACAAGATAGGGGATATTGGCACTGCTTCTCTTGTCCAACAGCAGTCTGGAGGGAACCTGTGCAAGGGCAATTAGTGTCCGTGGAAGCGTCTGTGTAGGAGAGAGAGGAGGAAGTAGGACTGGGCTGGTAAGCAAGGGGAGCCTTGCCATGCTCGAAGTTAAGAAGCAACATATAAGGTACTATTTCTGTGGAAAATTATAATTAACTGACTAAATTATGGTTTCTATATTTTTCCTGGGTTGGTTGTTGTTGTTGGGTTGTTAATGTTTTTGAGGTTTCTGTTTGGTTGGGTTTTTTCCAGTGCTATGTGCTTTTGGCCCGCGGGCCATGCGTTCCCAGCGGCAGGGAACCTGCCGTGGGAGTGCGACAGGCTGCCCGCGGCACTATCCCGGCCGTGCCACCCAGGGCAAGCATCCCCCCTGCTCGGGGGGATGGCATCTCCCGGCCTGAGGCACACGGTGGTCCCTGCCAGTCCCACTCACAGCGGCGGGGGGTCCGGCGGCCCTGCGCTCCTCTTCCAGCCGCGGAAGTCCGCACCTGCCCCGGCGCGGCTCGCAGCTCGGGGCGGGGAAGCGCAGCCCCAGCCCTCAGACTCCTCCTCCGGGCTCCCCGCCCCGGGCCCCGTGACGCCGAGCGGCGGCCGGGGATGGGATGGGACGGGACGGGCCGGGATGGGAGCGGGTGAGGGGACGGCCGAGCTCGCCGGCGGCTTTAAATGCGGGCCCGGGCCGGCGCCGCCAGCACAGCCGCGCCTCTCGCTCGGGCTGCCGCGGGCGCTCACCCGCACGGACACGGACGGGCAGGTGTAGGGCCCCCGGCATGCCCCAGTGAGCCAGCCCGCAGCCCGCCCGCCGCCACGGCTGCCCCGCAGCCCCCGCCCGCCGCCAAGCTGGAGGAGCGCCGCAAGCCCGAGCCCCGGAGGTGAGCGAGCGGGAGCGGGGGTGCGGACGCCGGGCTTCGCTTCTCACTCCTCGCTGTCTTTTTCGGTGCCCAGCTCTGCTGGAGCCAACTTTGAAAACGCTTCGTGGTGTTGGAAAACTTTTTTTTACCGTTTCAGTTCATCTTCACTGAGTTGTTAGCAGCCGCTGAATAGGCAGCCTCGTCTTTCCCGGGGTTTCCAGTTATCCACCTAGTCTATGGTTGTATGGAGTGTTTTATTATCCAAGACCAGCTCTTCGCTGTTTGTTTGCCCTTTCTGTGCTTCCTGTGAAGCGCTGCCATCCATAGCGAGAGCACACGGGGAAACTAGGATTTAACTGTCTTTAGGCTTGCTCCTTTTTTCTTTACCACGTTAAGTTACTAACGGATTTTTCTTCTGTTCGGAGCGCATCCCTTTAGCCCTCGCGTTCAGAAGGAGCCCTCGGATGTGCAGGGAGCTCCCACGGCATGATAGAAAAAGGCAGCGGGCTCTGCTCTGGCAGGAGAGCGGGCTCGGGGTGCGTGGCGGCAGCGCCGCGGAGTCGTTCCTCAAAGCTGCTCCTGTTAGTAAAGCTGGGCGCGTAAGGAGCAAGGTCGGGCCCTGGGGCAGATCCGAGTGGTAGCAGCTCCCTTGGAGAACTGCTCTGTGTACTGTATATAGGTACTTGCTCCTTTTGTGTCAGAGAGGTGAAGTTACTGTGCATCTGAACTTGACTCTGTGCATGTGCTCCCAGCTGCTTAGGGACTTTGTTCTGGTTGTTCCTATAAGGTACATACTTTCTGTTTAAAAAAAACAAAAACAACATAAAAAAACCCAACCAACTAAAAAAAAAACCCCATTCAGAAACGGAACAAGAAAAGCTTCACTAGTTGGATTTGACAAAATGTGTCGAGTTGCATATATTGTGTGTGGGACAGAATATGTTGCTAAGTGCTGGTGTGACAGGCTGCAGGAAAACACCTAGTTCTTATTCCGGTTGAGATCAGTAGGAAATTGTGCAGAGGCCCCCTGAGCAAAGCAACCTTCAGGCTCCCGAACCCCAGCAACTACTGAGTGACTTCATTTTGTTCTCACAATTCCCAGTCCTGTGCCAAGTAATTAAACAGGACTGTTTGCATCTGTACTCGCTCAGAGCATTGTACATAAGCTGATCTGTCCTAGTCCTTTCCTGGACTGCTGTTCCAGGCTCAAAGACTTTTTCTGGTGACTCCTGGGTTAGATGATGGAAGAGTTAATTTTGCAAAGCCTGGTTTCAGCTGGTGATTTTAGCTCTCGTCAACTTCACCTGCTGCTGAGGGTCAGTGGGATTGGAAAGGCAAATAATAGTGTAATCTGCAGGGATGGTTCTTTAGCTTCCTAGGAAGGAAACACAGACTGTCAAGTTCCAAAAAAAACCTAGGAGGATTTGCTTGTAATTTACCCTTTGCTTCTGCTGAGCAAAAGGTAAGTTAATTTCACTTTATTAAAAGCAGTTGCTAGACTTTAGGGACCTGCATTCCCGATATTTCAATGGGGCTGGCAACTGTAAACCGCTGACCTCGGATGAGTGGGGAGCAAGGTGTGGTGGTGAGGTGAGAAGGAATTACGGGGGTTTTTTTCTTTTCTTTTTCCAGCTATGGAGAGGAGAGATGGAGCTTTCATTTGTGTGCGCAGGGCATTCCTGGCAAGGTAACACCCTGCACTCATCCGGTCTGCTCCCAGCAAGGTCTGGCAGGATTTTCTGCAGCTCAGAACTGTGCAGGTTTTCCCCTTAAACTTCCATGTTACAATTTTAGATCTTGAAACTTCTCTGCAGCCAGAAAACAGCCTCATGTACTGGTGCTGTCTTGTGGTATCACTTGCAGCAGGTTTTTAAGAGGAGCTTTTAAAATGCAGTGGGTGTAGGGTAAATGCTTCAGTTACCGATGTGTTAAGCTGATAAGAAAAGGTTGAATTTATGCACGAAGTGCAGTTCAAAGAAAAACATCCCCGTGAGAAGGAAAAATCTATAAGTCCTTTTGTTTTCAGATCTACCTGCTTATCAGAGAGGGTGGAGGAGCTGATTGTGTCTCTGGCTGAAGGTTTTCTAATGCTGCCACCCTGGACAGCTGTAATTAATAAGCTGTAAGGGGTTTTGGGCAAGGTTGTGAAGGAAAATTGCTGCGTGAGAGGCTAAATCAAAAAACCTGTTCTTATTTTCCTGCCAGTAAGTGTGCAAACAGCTATTTGCAGTCAGAGGTGCTGCCTTGCCAGAAAGATGCAGTCGCGAAGGGAAAGGTGTTGCTTTGAGAAAGGAAATACTGGGGGAAATGTGCTGTTTTGGGAGGTGGGTGTCCAAAAATGGGCCATGTGAGTTCAGCAAGTGATGCTTCTGTGCCATTGTACGTGCCATCTGTTAGTACGAATTTGCTAGCAAACTTCTCTAATTTAATTTTTTGGGTTTTATGCCATTACGTTGTTATACATGTCCGTATCAAAATAGCATAGCTTTTACTGGTCTGCACCCCAGCTCCTCCCCTGGGCTGGGAGAACCAGAGGGCATGGGAGGAGGTTTTGAAGGTGCCTTGTTGCCAGCAGCGTTCCCGGCACTGCGGCGCTGCTGGGTCCCTCAGTGCTGGTGAGATGCCTCCATGGCCCCACTGCGAGAGAGAGCATCCTTGTCACGCTCCAGCAACCCGCCTCACACGTATCTGCTGTCTGCATTAGGTTTAGAATTTGAACTCTTGCTTTGAGCAAATTAAAAGGGTACTGATCACTCCTTGTTCCAAGTCAATTAGCTGCTTCCGGCTTCAAATCCACTTAGAAGGCTCACAAAGGAGGGGGAGTGCTCTTTGAAAACCCAGTAATAGCAGTTTATGGTTAATATTGATAAAGGAATGTGTGTCTGTGTCATTGTTCTGCATCTGGTGGAAGGAAAGCTCCTCTTTTGTGTTCCCTCAAAACATAAGCACTTGGATGGGGAGGCAGTGGTCTTTCTCGTGACTCACACTGTCTGGCTTGAAATGAAAATGCAGCTATAAAATGGTCAAGGTTGCAGTGAATTCCCACAACCACTCAAAGCAAGGCTTCTGCCTCCCTGCCCTTGAACTTTGAGTCGCTGTAGCATCTCACATCTCCTGAGTTTGCTCAGGATTGTGCGCAGTTTGTGGCAGGAATGCTTTTTATTGCTGTTGGACAGTGTCAAAGACAATGGCTGCACCCATAATTGGGTGATAGTGCGTAGCATAAGTAAAAAGCTGCAGAGCTCTTGCTTTTCAATGGCTTAATTACATTAACTGAAGAGATGAAAATGTCTTTGAATTAGTGTCACACAATTACGAGTCTTTCACATAAGGAGCATATTTGAACTTGCCATAGGGACTGGCAGTGCAGTGAAGCTGCATGGAGATTTATGAGAAATTTGAAAATCAGAGAAAGCTACATCGCAGTTCTTGGCATTCGGTTTGATTTGGAACGGTGGATTTCTGTCCAAATTCAGTAGGCATGTAGGTCCATGCTGTTGGAGTATGGCTGAGCCTTCTGAGCACAGCAGAGGAGGTTGCAAATAGCCCTGGTTTTTCTGGTGAGAAAATTCAGATAAAACCAGAAGAGTTGATTCCATGTCACCAATATCAGAATTCTTTGAGTCTGCGGCATGAGCTTTCAGCTTCTGCATTCCAGAAACGTGTGCTCTTAGGAAAGTTCATTCTGCTGCCAAAGTAGAACAGAGACTGAGGGGTGGATTTAAAATAGATTTATTATTTATATATATAAATATGTATGGAGTGAGAGAATATGGCTGATCTATGTATTTTCTACTCCTAAGGAAATTCTTTTAGTGGAGGAAGAGAATTTTCTCGGTGTTTCAAATCCTAGCGGTATTATATAACTACCTTTTAGGGGAACAGGACCATACTTCTGTTTTGCTAGCATATAATAAATACTTACTAAATACTGTGTATTAATTCTTGAAATAAGCTTTAATTTTCCTAAGTATTGATCCATACTTCTGGCATCCCAAAGTGAGTTGAAGGACTTGGTGGTGGGAATTGTTCCGTGACTTCTTTTAAGACTGAGGATTACTCAAATCACTTCATTCTGTTATTAATGACGATTATAAAAGCTATTTCATTTTATTGAAATTATAGTTAGTAACATATTGTTATTAATAATAAACTTATATATAATCTATAAATAATACAGAGCTGTGGTACCTCTGCTTTTGACCTCTGCGAGGTGACTGCTGCTCATCTGTGAAGTTGCTGATATTTGATGTGATTGTTCCCCAGGGAAGATTGAATTTTACTTTCTTTTGAAAGTTATTACAATGAGCTGGTATTATGCAAGAAGTCCTGGTGGGTTTGCATGTCCAACAAATTTTTGCCTTTTTTCACACAGGAGTTGTTCCTGTGGTGTGTTCCGTCTTTTTCTGCTGCTTTTTCTGAGCGAAACGTGCAAATGCTTTGATTTTGATGACTGTGCAGATGTGTAATCTGATGGCAAAGATGGCAACTGAAGTCTTGTGCGCCAACTGTTCATCTTTACCAAAATTTTTCAGTTTTCTCTATTTTGTACACTAGGTGCAGAAACAGAACTTGGGTCTCTTTTTCAATGGTGTGTGCATCTTGAAGATTATGCTGTTTTCCTCTTAAGTTTTTTTAATAAGTTTTTACTTCATTTTAATCACATCTTGCAGGTTTACTGAGCTCATTTCAACTCTTAACCTTGAACAGAAGGTTGCAAAAGTTAATTGCTTTTATTGTACCGGTGGCTGTATAACACTTCAGACACACTCTCAGCCCTTCGACGTAAGCGTAAAGGTCTTTTCATCAAGGCTGCTAAATATGAGGTTGATAAGAATGAAGCTGGGAAATAGCTGCTCAGTAGCTCAATGAAAAGTGGCATTTGGGCACATCAAACCTGTCTGTTGCATTGAGGTGTATTTCTTAACACTGGAATTGGACCTGCACATTTTGCTGAGGTCTCAGAGTTAGCAAATGTGGTCATCTTGAAGCGAATGTTACCTAAATTCTTGTTAAATTTG